TAATAAATTCATGGTGGAACCAATAGATGATACTTGTTAATTTAACAGAAACCCCGTTATCTCATATTAGAAATTTGTTTCATAATAGAGGTCTTCTCTATCTATAATTATATAATTTCAAATTTATTTTATTGTAGTGTAATTTGTCCCTACTGCTGTGTCAACAAAATTAATACAGCTTTAATTCGAGATTTAATTCAGCGTTACTGCTCAAGATATTTACTAAAAATTGGAAAGAAGTCGAATTGCTTATTCTGCAAATTTATCAGATAAACATGCTAATCTATTTGACATCGTGTTCAGTTATATCGTATTATTGATACAAATATGTTAAGGGTCAATTGAGCCAATTAATGGCTGTCATAAGTGTAGCTATCGCAGCATTTTTCAATAGCTAGAGCAATTACGAAATCTTTAAAAAATAATACATTTGGGGGGTTGTTATAAAGTCATTGAAAGTGATGACTGGTTAGAAGATATTGTGCTGTTGCATTGCTCGGCACTGCAAAAGTGATCGAGCTGATGCTCTAATGAAATCTACTTATAATTTAAATAATTATCATTATGATACAATGACATTAGATTCCGCCGATATTAACTCCCGGTCTAAATGCATTTACATGTCTTTCCGTTCAGTAATGCGAGGATAGTAAATTACTTGACCTATGAATAAATCCTCCGCCGTTCCCGACATTACGTGTCTCATATTTTATTTATCGTCGACTTATATTTTTTCTTTTGCGTACAAAATATAAATTCGTAGGGAGAATAACGTTATCGTTGCGTAAACGCGTGACAAATTATACGCAACTCGGAATGAAAAGTGGAAGACTTTCCCTTCCTATATTCCTATTTTCTGTGATTTCTATGATTGAATTTAACGAAGTTCAAGATAAACTTGTATAGAACTTATATTGGTAACAACTGATACTTTAATAGTTTAATGGAATATAAAAGTGATATTATTTGATTGATAACGTACGATTTCTTACTCGGGCAAATTTTTTGGAAAACAGTTTATCAGGCAAATTCATTTAGTTTTTTATTTATAATTCAAGTTGGAATAATCTGCACTTATATTACGTATACGATAGAAACTAATTTAAATATATTTGTATATTAATCATATATGATTGTGTATTATAATAATTAATAGCTACTGTGCACTATGTAATACGCATATAAATATGTTAGTATTAATTGCTCATCAGCGGTTTAACCTTCACAATTCCATTCTATAATTTGCCAGAGAAAGTGACTTAAAAGAGAAAGATATTGAAATTTTTAGAATGCTTTTCGAACTACGCATTTACATTCATCTTCTTTTGCATGTCCAATCTATAAATATATCCGAGCGATTTATTTATGGAGATGCAAAAATACATGGAACAATTCTCACTTTTATTCTTTTTATATCTGTTGTCTTTCTCGAATCACAAAATCACAAAGTGGACTTACAAGGCGTATAAAAATGCAAAATCAATAAGTTCCAAACATTCATTTTTGTACAAAAACGAGAAACGAGAAGCCCATTAGGTCCAAGCAAGTTGCAGATGGCCAAATAATTTTGATATGCGAATTCCTATGCCGTTTTTCCACCTTTCCAAATTTCACTCTTTCTCTTTTAAGTCACTTTCTAAAGCAAATTATAGAATGGAATAGCGAAGGATAAACCGCCAATCAACAATTAATACGCTACATATTTATATATTACATAGTGCACAGTGGCTATTAATTATTGTAATACACAATAATATATCATTAATATACAAATATATTAATTATTGTATTTTTTGTATACAATTTTATCGTTTCTGCTCGAGATCCTACTTTTAATTTCCGGTTTGCGATGCTATGTGAGATCAAGCGTACTCTTCGGCAATTAATCGTGCGGCAATGGACAGTTGTCTCGCGTTTTTCTCCCAAGTATTCCACTGGATTTTACATCGTTTCGCGACGCCTCTGGTGAGACGAGCCCGACAAGGGCAGTGAGTAGTCGAGTGGGAAAGCCTGCGCATGCTCAAAAAAACTTCCAAGGCGGTAAAAACCTTAAATTAAAAAACTATAGTTTTTTCATAAATTGCTCGTAGGGAAAATATATATTGGCCGTTGCTGGAGGTTTCCAAAAGTCACCTTCTCGAACTTTCAGCAACCTTTAAATACACATATTGCTGCCGATTATATCCTTTCTGGTAATATCTTCTTGTGAAGAAAAATTTTTGTAGAAATAATTTTTTTTTACTTAAAATTGGCTGAGGTCAATGTGTGAAAGAATGTACGCAAGAATGTAGAAGTCAAAATAAGATGACTAAAAAATACAGGTTTCGTGCACATCAAGAGAGACACGGTAGCGTCTCGCGCCAAGTGTAAAGTCTGATCTACAACGCGCCCTTTGCGTCTAGAAAGATTCTATTTTATAGTAAGCAAATCAAAACGCTTAAAAACCTTATCGACAACGTACGATTGTACAATGTGTACACGGAGAAAACGATTTCTTTGGATCTAATAAATTTGTTGTATCCAAACAAATTTGATAGTTGGAATGGTCGAAACAAATCAGTGGTTGAATTAATAAGCGCGATTGTTTGAATTTGAAATAATATATATCCTTGTCAGAAATAAAATATTTGTTTGAAACAAAAGGAATATTCGCTTTAATCTAAATTATTTTTATATATTAATTAAATTAAACGATATCGTTTCATTCAAACAACATTATCGTTTGATAGAAAATATGTGAAACAAAATGTATATGCATACATCTTTCTCCATCTACATTAGAATTTTTCCTTTATTAGAAGAAGAAAGATAAACTCTCAATTAGTACACTATGTTCAGCCACAATAAAGAACAGACCATTAAATGATTAAACTGCGTCTACTGATGCGGTTGCTTATACAGAGTGTTTTGGATAAGGTGTCCATCCGCTTGTATACAGATAGAGCGGGTTAAACTGAAAAGAAAAGTTGTGTACCATTTTGTAAAATTTCCAATAGTTATCAAGTAATTAATTAAAACGTCCGAGCCACCGTTGCTACGAGACTAAACAAATAAGGCATTTAACGTGCTCGCCAAGTCCGGCCTACTGCTTCTCGTGCGCTCATTCGCCCAGACGTTTTTATTTATCACTCGAAAACTATTGGGAATTTGACAAAATGGTATAACTTTTCTCTTCAGTTTAACCCGCTCTACCTGTACACGAGCGGATGGACACCTTATCCGAAACACCCTGTATATCTGGCTGCCGCGATTTTACTTACTAGTGGCAGCACCAAACTTTATAAGCGCCTGACGAAAAAATATAATTATTTAATTGAAAGACATCACTTTAAACGTAGTGTTTTTTTTCTAGCAAATAATACAGGTTGTTTGAACAAAACAACAAAATTTTTGTTCAAATCATATAACGTTTCGTATAAGCATATGTTGTTTTAATGAAACAAATTTCAATCAAATAAATAGAAACACTAAAGCCAAAGAAAGCCTTTCTCTCTGCGTAGTGTACAATTTATCAACTTGCAAAAATTTTTTAAACGTATTTATCGGCTACAAAATAGAATGTTCCTAGAAACGCAACGGGCACGTTGTAGACTAGGCTTAAGCGTAGCGATACCGCGCACGCGAGACCGACAGCGTATCTTTACGCGAGTCGAGAGGTCCTTAGATTATTGAATCTCAATAACGGCTGATCCGCTCGACTTCCAAGTCGTTTACAGCAGTGTGATAGAACGTTGTTTTCCTCCCCCCTCTCTCTCTCTTTCTCTGCGTGCGAAAATATGCCAAAAACGTGCACTCTCGGCACTTAAAAAAAATCCCCCTTCCACCCTCCAAAACTGCTACCTTCGAAAAGTGTTTGAAACGAAGGAAACCCTTGCTATAAAAAATCGCTGGACGAGGGGGGAGCTCCGTCCGCGCGCGGAGCGCAAAGCGCAACGCTTCTGCGCTCGCCGGGCGAGACAGGACGGCGCGCGCGGGCGGCGCGCTCGGCGGATTGGCTGCGCAACCGCCAGGGGCGCCTCGCTCGGGAGCGTCGTTCTTTGTTTCGGTTTCGGAGC